TTGAGCAAGAGGGCAAGTGTACACAGCCAAGTTAATTTCTTGCACAAGAAAGCCCGATGGCTAAAATGGCCATCGGGGCTTTCTTGCGCAAGAGAGCGTCTACACTGGCATGGATGTTTTTGCGCAAAAGCAAATCTTTTGCGCAAAGGCACATGCCAGTATAGACACTCTCTTGCGCAAGTACTTTTAACGGAAAAACTTTTCTGTTAAAATATTTGTGCAAAATCATGCCAGTCTAGATGAAGCCTCTTACATTCAGTTAGCATCTTCCGTTCTGGGGGATCTCAAAGCAATTTACAAATCTTGCATATGGCAAACTTCTCTGAAACAGTGTGGAAAGAGAAAGCGTTTTAAATGACTACAGCAACTTGACACACCAGTTTAGGGCAGGAGATAAAGAACTGCAATTGCAAGAGGAGGGCAAAATGCAAAGTAAATAATATCCCTTCTACTGGTTCTTTGCAATGTAGGGCTTCCTATGTGGTAGGATTTTGGTAAAATGCATGTGACTATGAAGGGAATAGCTCATTCAATTCTTGCCTTCATTGTTTCATGTCTATGCATTTGCTTTTACAGTATATAGTTTTAAAACAATTACAATCCTATATATAGATATCTAGATCTAGATATTGTCATCTTCCTGGAATATAGCAGCAACCGTGACACTATAATGAAACAAAGGGCCCTTCTCAAATGTGAATGTCAGGAAAGCAGGCAAGAACTTTCCTTCCTCTTACACACTTGCTTTGAGGACAGAAAAAATCCCCACATGAACTGCAAGAGCAGGGAAAGTGTTGGCTTCACAGGCATTTCCACGCAGGAAGGGAAGTAAATTGGAATATGTATGAAGAGTCAGTTAGGCTCCACTATAAGACCAAAGACCTGATTTTTTCTCTTGTCTGCTCCAATTCTCTTATCCAAGTAACTCCATTAAAGTAAATGGGAATTACTCACATTGTCTAGGAGTGAGGCAAGGCGGCAAGCTCCTGTTTTAATATGGTGTTGTTGAGGAGGAGGTGCAGCCTAACCTGCCGTCTACTAGGAGTTCCAGCTTGGGACCTGAAGAGCAAGCAGGCACCCAACTCCAAGCCTGATTCAGGCCACTTAGTTCCACTGCTTCCTTCTCTTCTTAGCAATATATGTATGTTACCCAGTCTTTATGGTTCTCTATATCTGGGCCTCCAAACAAATGAAGCTACCCCTATTTGGGGTACCATCCCACAATATAACTGTCCACTTATGCTAGACTGATCTGTTCATTCACTGAAAGAGGCAAAGTAGCCTGGGCCATGTAGCACACGCATGCAAGAAAATCAAAAAACTGCCTCCTCTGTTTCCCATCTCAGATTGGAAGGAGAGAGGTTGCCCACCCCAGCTTGTTATCTCTTCCTGCTTAAGTACATATTCTGATGTGCGGGCTGAGTAAAATCCCTATGTTGTAAATGGACCTCTGCCTGGTGGGAATTAATCCTATCCCTGGCTGTCTTAGTGTAACACCAGCAGACTCTGGTCATCTGTGGGCAGAATCAAACCCGGGAACTCTGAAGCTTAGTACATGAATTAAAAGGCAACTGGTTAGGAGCTAAGGCTGTAGAGTAGACTCATTATTTTCACTGTAAGTGGTCTCAGTGCCACTAATGTGAGGGTTAAACTAGCATGGGATTTACCCACCACATCACAGCTCCTATAGAACTTATTTTTCCTGCCACCACCAATGTATTTCACAGAAGCTAAAAATAAGAGAGAAAACGAGAGAGAGTGTGATTCAAGATGACTGAAATAAGAAAACCAAACAATCCCTTTAATTCCTTATCTTAATTCAGTTTTAGAATTCTGCTGGATCTTATTTTTCAAATAAGGAGAGAAGGTTGAATGGCTAAAAGGCCAAATGTGCAGGGAGATAAATGGGATGAAAAACATGTAGTGCTGTATTTAAGATGTTAATTCAGTAATGAGAATTGTGCCAAGTACTGGACATCTTTCTCTTACATTGATAAACATCTTTCTCTTTCAAGCAGAACATTTGAATTTTGTTACTGATTAAACAAAAGAAGATTTCCAAAGTATTTAGCTGGCAGAATTTAATAGTTTGTTTTGTTTTTTTAAAAATTAACTGCAATTTACATATTCAGTTAGAAATCTATCTCAATTTGAAAGCCACAAATAATTATATTTTAATAATATATAACTTTCACTTCTTACATTATTAATTCTCCATTAGAGTTGACTCTGAGGTATAGGTTATATTTTTGGTTTACTACAGACCAAGACTTTGGGATTGCCCAATATAATACAGAGGTACCAGCATATGGGGTGCATATAGATGACAGTTTATTTATAAGCAGATTGCCCTGTATAACAAGAGTCCTTGAGTCCTTATTGTATACGAGTCCTTGTTGAGTACATGAGTCCTTGTTGTAAAAAGATGAAATACTAACAAATTAAAACACTTCAAATAAAATCTTTTCTTCAGTTTGGTTTTACAAGCTGTAAGCCTAGTAAAAATCATTCCTGTATTTTCCAGGATTTTCCAAGATTTAATGCTCTCGGTGCAATAAAGCCGTCAGGTGATAAAAGTAGTGGCACCAGGAAAAAATCATAACTGTTTCTTGAAAGCCCCATAAAATTATATTCTGTAAGGGGCAATAAACCACTCAGTTGATTCTAATTTAGCTTAAAGCCATTTGCTGAGAAGCGGGGCTTCACCCATTGGTCAGCGCAGCAATAAATAGAAAGAACAGTGCATGAGAAGAAGAGGCACAGCTGGGCTAGGAATGAAACAGCTTTTCCCAAACTAGAAAACATGCAGAGTACACAGTCCTAGGAGAGGAATTAATTTAGGTCATTTAATGCATATGTATTAGACTTAATTATTTAATGCAAGGAGCCCACTTCATAGCTTTCCTTTATATAAAATCATGCCTGACAGAAAACCAGAGAAAAAGATCAGATTAAGGATCAAAACAAGATAAATTAATTTAATATGTAAAAAATGGTCAGATGGCTAGAGAGGGAATATTAATGCAGCTCTTTTATAAAACGCTTTTTCTTTTTTAAAATTTTCCTCTCTGGTGACCATGCAGATTGTGACAGGAGGCAGATTGATAGCACTGAGATTGGTACTGCACTGGCACTTTCCATCTGGGCTTCCAACTGGAGGGATTATGTTACTATTGTTAATAATTATATCTCTTATGGGAGTGATCAAGGGCTCTGAGTGGAGACCAATACCACATTGTGCTAGGAACTGCACACATGCATATAACAGAAAATGTATGCCCCCCAGAGTTTATGAACATGAGTCATAAGCTCTTTTTGTCCATCTCTATCTGAGGCAGACGTTGGCCAAAACAAAAGTCACTTATCCAATTCTTGCTACTCCCCAGAATGATAATGGTTTGGACCAATGATCTGGACTGGATCTGACTCTCCTGTTGTGGAATATGGATAGCTTTGCTTCGGCAAAACTTGATCAATGCCATCGTGAAACCAAATCCAACCTGGATTTGCCCACCTCTGATTTTTGGGATGTGGCCACTGGTCTACAAGAAACTGGACTGATATGACTAAGCATATTTCACTATAAGACTCTAAGCAGCCATCAGGTAGTAACACATTTCAGTCACATATAATTTAAATTGGTGATCTAGAAGCAAAAGATTCCACATAGCTTTCTCACTACCGTGGTACAGCAAGTGCCCTCCAAGTGTATTTTTATTTTAGTTTTGGATTCCATATGCGTCTTTATTTGGTGTGTGCAAATGCCTTGTAGAGTCATTAGCATGAAATAATAGATAAATGGGAAAGTTTGTTCTTGGTTTTGGCTCTGAAGCTTTGCGTGTGGGCATTCATTTCCTTACTGTTCAGATACATTAACACCTTCCTCTTGATTGTTTGCCAGATCTGCATCACAGTATTTTCACTTTCCTCCACTAGTTTCCAGGCCACTATTTCTCCATTAAATCACATCCCTTTTATGAATAAATCATGACTGTATAGCAACTGCCAAAAATATAATGCCATTTTTAAGATGGTCAACAAGGAATGGTTGTGAATAGTGAGGCATAATCCCTCTCAACTGGAGGGTGGACTATGAAATGTTTAAAATATCAGAGGGCTTGAGAACTAGAGGCTTGGCTTTAACATAAGTCTCTTTCACGTTGTTACACTAACAGCTAAGCCATTGGTACAGGGGACAAAAAGGACATTTGCGCAACTATATTTTTTTGCCAGAAGATGGAAATGAGTGACAGGGGGCAGATCACTTGATGATTACCTGCTCTGTTCAGTACCTCTTAGGCATCTAGCATTGGCCACTGTCAGAAGACAGGATACTGGGCAAGATGTACGTTGGTATGGCCATTTAGTATGGCCATTTGGTATGACCCAGTATGACTGTTCTTATGTTCTTAACTAAGAGGCATCATGCAAAAATAACTCAACAATTAAAACTATTTCAGATACAGTATGAAACAAAACAAGCTCTCATCACCTTGCAAAAATATGCTAAGGGATTTCCTAACAATTTATAAAGTGACTTTCCTCTCATATGCCAGTTTATATATGGTCAAGAATGGGAGAGAAAAGCCACTCCCACTCTGACGGCTTTTTGGTGACAGTAGTCTGGGTGAAATAAGGTTGTTTACTTCAGTACCCAGTGAACAGGTGCCTACATTTTAACATCCACAACTACTACCATTTTTAGTAGTTGAAGCAGGAATTAAGTAGGCATAAACACTGAATTAGCTGATCCCTCAGAGGTGGTCATTCCAGAACAAAGCAGAAGCACACAAAAAGTGGTTTATGTTGGGGGAATGGAAAGTATGGAGAAGACTGCACTTTTAATAAGTAATAATAGGTACATCAAAAGTTCTCCACTTCACTGCACAGACCCATCAAAAACATCATTTCTCATTGTGGGCCTCCGACTGATTCATATTTCTTCACTGACACTAGTTCATACAAAGTCACTATGCGAATACATAATCTATTCCACTTACTTTGTAGTTAAAGAGGAATAATCCACAGAATAGGCTGTACAGATCCGCTGTGAGCAGGGAGAGGTTGACTGCAGTAGCACTGGTTTTCTTAATGACTACTGGCATGAAGCTGTAGAGGCCAAACATACAGGCACTAAAGCCAACATACAGCAACCCTGGAGGAGGAGGAACAAGATAAAATGATTTACCACAGTCTTTCCAAAGGACCCATATTGCCTGACTTTGTATTGTGAGAAAGAAGAAAGCCACACTGTTTAAAAGACAATTCAGAATATTTTTCTCAAATAACATTTTTATTTAAATCATGTATATATTTATAGTCATTCTTGGAGCATTAATATAAATATATGCTATATCACTGGAAATGTAATATATCTAATAAATTATGTCATTGCTATGAATGTCTAGATCATACAGGACGAGATCACCAGCTGATGTAAGTTGTTTCAGCTTGACACATCTATTTAAATCAATTGAAATGTGTACCAAAATCTGTGTGCTAATAACCACTTTATAGATATCTTTTCTGGTGTCGTATAAAGAGCACAAGTGAGGGGACACAGCATACTACAGGTTTTTCATTCATTAGGAAAATCTCACAATCAATAGAGCTTGGTGTCTAATTCATTTATCGACCAAATTACACCTGTTATTCTGTTTTTGAATGATCTATGAGCTCATCAATTTATTCAGCTATGCTAGTTATTCAAAATTATTGAAATAATAAATCCTGTTAATATTTTTTGGCCTGTAACTTGTTTGACAGGGGTTTGCTGTGAAAATTAGAGATTCATTCTTGTTTAATTGGGCACATAGGCTGTACGCTACCCTCTGGTGGCCTAGGTATTTGTACCCGGACTGGTTGAAAGCAATTCTTCAATGCTGCTACACCTTGACATCAGATGTATGGTTGGATACCCCATCTGTATTGTTGTGAGACTACGAAGTACCAACCACTTAAGTAGGTTTTCAAGAAAACTCTCTTTACTCATTCAGAAGATCATCAGGTGATTGTGCGTAGCTGGCTTCATTTTTACATGACAAAATATTTTCATCCCCTCTTAGACGTATTGAGCAGCCACATCTCTACCTTGAGCAGGAGGCAAGCTAATTACCCCATCCTCCACCCCCAGTGCAGATATTGCCTCTTCAACAGTTTGGACCAGCCCAAAAACACAATATTCTATAGTTCCCATGAGAACAGCTTTACTATTAAAATAGTGCCTTCTCTTAGTTGTGAATTCCTCTTACTGGGAAATGAAACAGTGTGTTCTGGATAATCCCCCAAACTGGACCCAATCCCGTAGGGTGCTAAACATGTTCAATCCCCACTCAATTCAATGACAGTTGCGGGCATGTGGCATATTGAAGGATTAGGCCCATAAAATGGATTATACTGCTTTTGTAGCTGAAGTACTGTCCAATGGACAGGGCACTGGGCTGAGAATAAAGAGACCTGGATACTATTCCTGGCTCTGCCACTGATCTTTCATGTAACCTTGCTAAATCGCTGTACATCTCTGTGCCTCTATTTACTCTCCCATCCTTCATCTGTCTTGTCTATTTAAATTGCCTGATTTTTCAGGAAAAGGACTGTCTCTTATGCGTAAGTATAGATCCTAACACAGTGGGACATTGTAGGTATGAATGCAATATAAATAAAACATTCTATTACAAAGTAATTTCTTGTTAAAGATATTTGAAACCCTGCCAGGGAAGAATTCACAGTACCAATTATTTGGTGGTGAATCTCAAAGCAAGTTTTCTTAAAAAAAAAAATTCAACTTTTCCACTTATGTGCACTCAAGCAAATAATAATTTTACTGCTATTAGATGTTGCAATGTGGGCATGAACTAAATTTAGACTCAAAGGTATAGACTTAAAATGGCAGGGAACCTGATTCCTTATTTTGTACTTTCATGGCTCTGGGTATCAATTGATAATAAAAATGAATAAAGTCTTGCCAATTTTGTACCTTTACAAAAAGGCTATCCAGTGGATAAGTTCTATCATAACACTTATGGTTTTGCTTTTATAGAGGCAATTCAATAAGAAGTATATTTCCATATGAAACACATATAGTAGTCATCATAAGAAATCAGCAAATGCCTATAGTTACCCCACACATTGGTAAGTGAGATATCAGAGTTTCAATCCATATTTGGAATATGAAATAACCGTTGAGTGTTGTATCTATTAGCAAATGGTGACTTTTGAATGGTTAGCATTGTACATGGGTATCCATGGAATTCTCCCACATATAGTACTTAAAGGAGTGCTTTATGCCTGCTCTGCTATTCTTTCGTACTGGGACAATGATTCCATAAAAGGGAGTATAGTTTGGGCTAATGACAGAATTTTCAATGTATCGCACTACTAAGTCAGCCTCTTTCTTCTTGGCTTCAGAGCAGTTCACTTGAAAAAGTTATTCTAGCCTTTAGGTGTGGAGTTCTCAGATTGTTATCTGAAGATGAATGGTGGTCTATTAAATACTTGCTGGTGATTTGAAGAGAGCCGGCAGGGCACATGGTGCAAATGGTCTGAAAGCCTACAAAAGCAGCTGGAAATGAGGAACTGTCTAACTGTCTTCAATGGCATTTTACATGATTTTCTTGATCTTATACTCTGTCAGGGAATTAATTTCATTTTTATAAAGCCACTTTTCCAAAGGATTCTCCAGTTCCAGAAGAAGAATGCTTACACAATGGTTGTACTCTGAAGGATGAGTGTAAAAATGGCATCTCATTTGCACCTTAACTGTACTTCTAATCCACGTCAGTTGAGTGACATTTACTGGTGCCTATATGTAGGTATGTCTACACTACAGAGGTTTTTTTGGAAAACCAGCTGTTTTTCCAGCAAAACCGGAGTTAAGTCCACACTGCAATCACGTTCTTCTGAAAGTAAATTGAAAAAACAAAGGGTTTTTTCCGGTGTTGGTAATCCTCTTTCCATGAGGAAGAAACCTTTTTCTGAAAGAGCTCTTTTGAAAAAAGGTGTGTGTGGATGGAGAAGAGGGAGTTCTTTCACATGAAGAGGAAAGAGGAAAAAGCACAGGTGCCCTGGTGGCCACTCCATCTATAGTAATCATAGCTTAAATGTGAGATAGTGTCCATTCAGATCACTTTTTTGATGTGCTTTCGTGCGTGTACGCTCTCTTTCGGAAGAAGATTTCGGAACATCTCTTCTGAAAAATGGTTCTTCCGAAAGAAGCCTGCTGTCTAGACATAGCCTGTGAGCCAAAAAGAGTACCATTTGACTTTCACATCTCAAGTTCACAAAGCTAGATTTTTGGGAAAAAATATGTTTTATTTGTAAACTGATGACATTTGATCTGGAAGTTACCGGGAGACCACAAAGTTGGAACCCTAATGTGATTTTTAGAGAGTCACTTTTCAGGGTAGAAATGCTTCAGCATGCTCTAACTGCTGGTTTTAGCTTTTACGATCGTACTATGAAATCCAGAGTGCCACTAGTATTTGACAGTCCGGGATCATTTCACTCAAAGATTTCTTCAACTTGTTTCAGAACAAGCAACAATGAAACAGAGAGAAAAATTCATAGCCTTCATTGTGAGGAAAGTTGCTATCTGAGACCTAAATTCACTTCTCTCACAGATCAAACTTTTTTTTCATGTTTGTTATTGTTTCATTATTTACTTCGCAAACAATTTATTTTGGGGGCAGATCTTTAACTGAAAGAAGTTGGCATAGCTCCCCTGATTAAAATGAAGCTACACTGTTTTACATCAGTTGACAATTTAGTCTTGTGTGCTAAGGAACCTTGCAGGAGAAGAACTAAGTAGCAGAGAGGGCTACAACCTACATTAAACGTGTTATATGCTAGAATGGATTTGAACTTTCCTAACACAAAAACATTCCCATTTTACATCAGCTGAAGATTAGTTCATATATTCTTAATGACAAAATTATGGTAGATGGCAAGACCTACCTTCAATTATTTATTAAGTTGCCCACAATGACTTTATCACTACTATTGAAAGGGCTGACAATTTAACTGTGCTAAGCCACAGTTTTAAATCTGTTGTGCTAGATAAATATTCAGGACAATCAAGGTTGTGTCCTCCTTGACATAGTCTTGTCAGTCACTGCCTGACAAGCTCACAATGCTGCCAACACAATGGGAAATGCACGAAGTACAGTGGAAGGCAGGAAAGAATTCAAAACTATACATCTATCATAATTTTATTCACATTCTTTCACGGCTCAACCATATTTCAAATTATTGCACTCACAAAACAAGTACAGGTGTATACCATTCTTAGCCAGTTGAATTCCTCTTTTTCTGATTTACTTCCTACCCTTATAAATTATGACAAACTCAGCAAAGCATGATTTATTTTAATAAAATTTGTCAAACATTTATTTTAATGTCACATTTAACTAACACCAAATTACAACAGAACTCTTGTGGAAGTACATAGGACATCCATATAACTAGGAGATGAATTCACTATGATCATTGCTAATAATACCAGTACTAAATTAATTCAGGATCACAGACTTCTTAAATTAAATGCTACCTAGCTCTGGTAGAGTTTTGTTAAGGAATTCAGGCAAATGCATCTGCAGTCTGCAATAGGGTTTGGTCCTCAACTGAAACTTTCACTGATTTGTCATTTAGTTTTCAGTCTTGTGTAAAATTTCCATGACTTGCAGTGGTGATGCTGTGTAACAGATGCATTGCTCTATTAAGGTTTAGGATAATTTGAGTAAATAATGAATAAAGTGGTAAAGAAAGCAACAAACTACCTTGTTACTTATAGCTCCACTTCTCAGTGATTCCCTATATAACTAATTTCCATATCTTGATACTCATTTGTTAACTAGATTAACAAGATGCTGTTGCTATATAACCAAAGCATGACCTCCTGCTCAGTATTTCTACCTCTTGCACAGAATGTCGTTTTGTGTGTTATCAGCATTCTATAAAATACTTCCTTTGGCACAGATACCAACTGTGATGTTTTAGGAACTAAATGTTGCTAAATGTCGCTTATAAAAAAAAAACCTTTCTCCTTACCCATCCTGGACCCCAGACACCCTGCTGGTGGGACTTATCAGCCCTCCTCCTTGATTCGGGTGTGGGGACTACAAAGGAGTGGGTGTTGGCTCCCTGCTAAGCCAGTCATAGGAGTCCTACACCATCTATGTTTCTACTCCTTTAACAAATACATCCTTTAAATCCTTTACCAATCCATTTTTATCTGGTCCGAGTAAAAGAGAGCTTTTCCTGACTGACATGGACATCTACAGTATCCCTTCTCTTCTGGTCACCAGGAAGAAGGGATGGGTCAGTGCTCTCACACAGACCTGTTTTGCAGCTCTGCAGTAAAAGTTGCTCCATGCTTCTCTAGCCCCGAAATGAGGTATACACCATCTTCTGACAAGCTAGCCAATGGGCTCCCCACGTTCCGCTTAAGGTGCAGTATGATCACTGTGCATGATGTTACCAAAAACCTACTTGAAATATATATGTGTTATAACTCACTCACCTCACTTGGAGAGTAATTAATTATTTAAATGCAGAAATGCTCCTCTCAGAAAAGGTTTTATGGGCCTGCAAAATCCAGTGCAGGAAATTTTCTTTTACAGTTTTTAGTTCTGTTTTCTTTCTTCTACACTAAGTGCAAAATGTTGGTGGTTAACAATCACTCTGATGATCTGTTTCAGTGCTGCACTGAATCTTGGAATAAGAAGCCTGTTATTCGTTAAGTCACTCTGCTGCCAGAATGATCTACTTGTGACATTCATATGCTTCTTCTCTGCCTAACCTAATGGTGCAGGGAATACATAATCTGGCAGAGGGAAGAGTGGGAGCACAGATCATTTCAAAAGGTTATAGATGAGACATGCATTCCAATCTTTGACAGAAACTAGCATGAATGTAGCAAACTTTGCCTCCTTTAGCCCTCCCACACTCCTCCCCAAATATTATTCCTCATGTTCTTCAGCAACAGTTTTTAATGAAATGAATTTTCTTCTTACCTATTTGCCAATCCCAGGGAACTTTTAACAACTCCTTGTGTTCCATTATTGCACTGGAAAAGAAAAGAAGGCAACGTTTGATGGGAAGGAACAGAACTTAACTTACTTCCACTCATTCAATTCATATGATGGACAAAACAAGTATAGCCTTATAACAACAAACTCCGGAAACAGCTATATAAACCAAATGTAGTCAGACCTAGTTAACTAACTTTGATTTTATTGCCATATCCATATGTTGGAAAGATCTTTGGTGCAGTAATCAGATTTGATAGCGTGTAATTTGTCCTGGTTTATCTCCAAATCTTTAGCGGTAAATCCAGAGCTGCCCACCCCCTCACTTTCATACCAGCCTGTCCTTTACAATTTAATATTCTCAAAGTTCTTGAACTTTCAAGACTTATAATACATCTGCATGTGTTATATGCCCTTCCAAGCCCCTCGACAGTGAAGAATAAATACGCTGAATCAATCACAGAGTTGAGGTGGCAGATTACATAGGATGTTCTTGGGAAAAATATCCCAGGACCCAATTCATTAAACATTGAGAGAGTAATCATAGCAATAAAATTCAAGAACCAAAAATTAAGACTGAGCCCTACTGAAAGAGCCCAGGTAAGGATTTAGTTTCAAGGTTAATTGAATTTTAAAAGCCCATTAACACGAAGGCCCCTTATTATTTGTGTTATTGTAGCACAGAGGAGCCCCCACCATGGGCCAGGATCCCTTTGTGCTAAGCATACAACGAACAAAAAAGCAGTCCCTGCCCCCAAAGAACTTACAGAGACAAGAGACAATAGATGGATCTGGGCAGATGGAGGTGTACAAGCAAACAATGAAATGCCAAGAGAGGCCCTCATACTCCAGGCAGGCCAGGTCCCCTCTGAGCTAGTTCTCCACTCAGCTATCCTTCTCTGGTCAGTGATTTGAGGGGGAGGGGAACCTTGCTGTGCAGGGCTCTTATTAGGGATGTAATAGTGTAGTCAATTAATCAATAAGAAAAAGCTTATAGGTTAATATTAAAGACTACACACATCTCCCCCCCACACCAGTAAATTATTTTAGCGGGCTGGTCAGCAGCCCGTCTCAGTCCCAGCTTGGGCCGGGTCTGGGACCTACTCCCGCATGGCTCTGCATATATAGTGTATTAGGAGTCGGGCAGACAGGCAGCCTGACTCAGTCCTGGCTTGCACCGGGTTCTGGACCTACCACCACTGCAGCTCTGCATTTAAAGTGTATTAGGAGCCAGGCGGGCAGGCAGCCCAGCTCAGTTCCAGCTCGCACCATGTCCGGAAGCTCAGACCACCCCCGAACAGGGGCTGCTGCCACCCCACACTGCATTGGAGCAAGCAGTGTGGGGTGAGAGGCAGCTGGTCCACGAAGGGAACTGGTTTTTAAACTGGTTCCCTTTGCAGACCATCTCCCGCCTGGGACCCTACGCTGCTGCCTCTCATAGAGAGGCAGAAGTGTCGAATGGCAGTGGGCTCGTTGGGAGTGGGGCCAGAGTGCACTGGCTACTGGCCTCACCCCCAGGGGACTATAGAATAGTTGAGTAACCAATAAGAATTCATGAGGGTAATCAACTATTTAATTAACCGATATTTAACATCCATAGCTTTTATGAATTTGTGCCTCTTAAAGTAAAAATCCCCTTTTCCTACGATTTACAGAGAGGCTTAAAACAAATTTAAAAAAGCATCATATGCTGCTACAACTTTTCTTTATTATTATTTTTTTCCCTCTGCATCCCTCAGGCATACGGCAGAGTACAAAGACAAAGGGAGGCAGAGATCTTGTCCAAAAGAGCATGCACTCCACCAAATACAGAAACAGAAAGATGCATGGTAAAAGAAAGAGACAAAGAAGTGATAGGGACACTGTATCCCGAAGAGTTTTAATTACAATCTTTATGCAGAGCTTTTTAATATATAATTTTTTTAAACATAAAAATGCCCATATTGGATTGAACCAGTAGTACATCTATCTCAGTATCCTGTGCTATATGGAAGTTTAAGGACAACCATAGCACACGATTATGTCTCTGACCATCTTGGCTAATCAGCATTGGTGGACCTATCCTCCATGAACTTATCTAATTTTTTTAAACCCTGTCATACTTTTGATTTTCACAAAATCACTGCTCAACAAGTTCTACAGATTGACTGTGCATTGTGAAGAAATGCTTCATTTTATTTGTTTTAAACTTGCTGCCTATTAATTTCATTGGGTATGACATGAAGGGGCATATAACATTATTTCATGATTTTACTCTATCATAGTTGTCTCTTTCCTGAACTGAAGAATTCCACTCTTTTTAAGCACTCTTCATATGGAAGGTGGGAGAGTACCATGGATTTATAAAGTGGCATTATGTTATTTTCTGGCTTATTATTTAGCCTTTTTCTAATGGTTTTTAATATTGTTTGGTTTTTTTGTTTGACTGTTGCTGCATGCTTCACAAATGTTTTCAGGGAACTATCCACATTGATTCCAAATTTCTTTCCTGAGTGGTAAGAGCTAATTTAGATCCCCATAAATTCATGGGAATATTTAGGATTATGTTTTCCAATGTGTATAACTTTACACTTATCAACAGTGAATTTCATCTGCCACTTTGTTGCCCAGACTCCAAGTTTAAATGAGATCCCTTTGTAACTCTTTGAAGTCACCTTAGAACTAGGGCTGTTGACTAATATCAGTTAATTCTCACAATTATTTGAGATTTAAAAAATTAATTGCAATTAATTGTGGTTTTAATCACATTGTTAAACAATATTAGAATACCAATCTAAATTTACTATAAATATTTTCAGATATTTTTCTACATTTTCAAATATATTGACTTCAATCACAACACAAAATACAAAGCATCCAGTGCTCAGTCACATTATTTCTATTACAAATATTTGTAGTGCAAAAATGATGAACAAAAGAAATGGTATTTTTCAATTCATCAGTACAAGTGCAATCTCTTTACTATGAAACTGCAACTAACAAATGTAGTTTTTTGGTACATAACTGCATTAGAATAAAACATTGCAAAACTTTAGACCTATATGTCCACTCAGTCTTACTTCTTGTTCAGCCAATTGCTAAGACAAACAGGTTTGTTTACATTTATGGGAGGTATTGCTGCTTGTTTATTTACAATGTCTCTTGAAAATGAGAAAAGTTGTTTGTATGGGATTTTTCTAGACAGCATTGCATGGTATTTATGTGCCAGATATGCTATACATTCATATGCCTCTTCATGCTATGGTCACTATTCCATAGGACATGCGTCCATGCTGATGACACTCATTGAAAATAATGTGTTAATTAAATTTGTGACTGAACTCCTTGGGAAAAAACTGTATATCTTCTGCTCCATTTGACCTGCATTCTGCCATATATTTCATGTGATAGCAGTCTTGGGTGATGATACCAGCACATACTGTTCATTTTAAGAACATTTTAAGAAGATTTGAAATTCAGAGAAGGTACCAATGTGAGATTGCTAAATATAATTACAGCACTTGACCGAGGTTTAAAAATCTCAAGCGCCTTCCAAAATCTGGGAGACACAAAGTATGAATAATGCTCTCAGAAGTCTTAAAAGAGCAACACTCCAATGAGGAAACTATGAAACCCAAACCACCTACTCAGTGTTACACAGGTCAATCAATTTTTGTTTTTTGAAAAATAAAATAAAAATGTACGTGCTTCATTTTAATCATTGCTCAGGAACGGGTCTGGATATGAGGGGTTCTGTATTAAGGCTGCCCTGGGGAAAGAGGACTACTCCAGCTCTCTCTCTCTTCAGTAACTGGGGGCCAAATGAGAAGCACCTCTTCATGGCCACTGCAGCTCCAGTGGTCACAGCTGAAGGAAGGAACAATTGGGACAGGTCCAGGTTTGTCTGCCCTCTGCTCCCCCCAGCCAGAGTGAGGAATTCATCAAACTGTACACTTTCCCCTCACTGCCTGACAAAGGGGAACAGCCAGCAATATCCCCATATGAATGGGGGGGAGGGGAAGGGAAGGCATGGGAGATACACACCTTCCCTAAGGGGTGCGTGGGGAGTTGGAGACTCAGGGCTGGGGTAGTCCTGAATGGGGGTGCACACCCCCACCATGCCTCTTTCATCTGTCTGGTAATTGTGTATCTTTTCTGTTGGGTTTTGTGAGAAGCAATCCCATTCCAGGCACATCCCATTTTCCTGGTACACTTACCTTGATTTATGTTATGTTAAACGGAAGCTGCATACCAAATTTGTTGGTTCTATCTCTTACCATTTAGGAGTTCTTGAACTTACAGATAGACAGAAAGACAGACAGATAAACTCTCTCAAATATATAGTAGACAATAATATATAGTGTTTTTCCTCCATAGGTCTTAAAGCACTTTAACAAAGTATGTCACAGTAATTTTACAAAAGGGGAAACTAAGGTCAGATGAAAAAGAACTTCCAAAGACCAGCAGCATACTTGATCCACAGTCCAGTGCTGTATCCATCAGGCAACACTGCCTCCAAGATGTGTCTAAGTTTATATAGTCTTACTAAGTATAAGTCTCCACTTTGACTGTATCATTTTTGTATCATTACTTATTGTTTACCATGTATACAGAGGCAATAATAATAGTTCCCCCAAGAAAATCAGACATTTTTATCAGTTTTTATTTTCTTTATGTGCTTTAAAAATCTATTTGTGCAATAATTAAATCAACTGAAAGCACTTAAGTCATGTACCCAGATGCTGCAACAATGGGTGCATAAAAATAATAAACTAGCCTATTAAACAAATGCAGTTAATAGGCATTGTTGCTCATTCTCTATCCTTCGGGGCTGGGCAGATCAGCTACCTAGATAAACCACAAGTTTTGATTAATAATTACAAATTATTTTGGGCACCACCATAAATCAGATTTGCATAAAATGTAGGAGTATTACTTGGTGATGGTTTGGTATAGTATTCTCCTTTTCCAGACATGTTTTCAAAGGCTAGAGCCTACCCTTCTGCTATAAAGCCTGAATTTGGAGTGCAAAATGAATACTTGCAGACATCATTATCCATTTGTGCAAATATATGTGGGCTTTATGGGTGAAATGTGTGTGCCTGTAATTCATGAACCAATCTTTTGAACATTTGGCCCTATGCGTGTTATCATTGCAGAATTACTGTTTCAGTGTTTTCTTTCATAGCTTTCTAAATATCATAAATTATGTACATAGAGTAAAAATATTACTGAATACCTTCTGGCAGAGTCAGTGTTTCCATCTGTTTACAATTCTAGGTGACTTTTTATAAATATGAATCACAATTAAGGATAGGTATGGTCTGTGTCACCCTGAATACAGCTCAAGATGCTAATTTGCTATTGATCTTGAAATAACAAATAGGTGGATACTATTTCACATCTATCAGGGTATGTCTACACTACCCCGCTAGTTCGAACTAGCGGGGTAGTGTAGACATACCCTCAGAGTTATTTATTCTAATGCAAGGTGTCTGGGCTATTTGCCCAGAACATGTAGTTACCTAGCACTGCCTTTTAAGAGAGGAGGTTCTATTTGGTAGGTATAGGTGACAGAGGGGCAAGATGACATCTGCCGTACCCATTAGCTGCCTGGCTGCTTACTGAGTGTAAACTGAATGGTCTTGCACTGTA